GTACATACGAAACACTCTCCAGGATAGATGTTATGTTAGACTACCAAAGAAATCTAAATAAATTTAAGATTGGAATTGTCTCAGACATCTTTTCCAGCCACAATGGTATGAAATTAGAAATCAATTCATTATAAGAAAAATAAAAAATTCACAAATATATGAAAATTAAACAACATGCTACTGAACAACCAACAGGTCGCAGAAAAATTAAAAAATATACCTTGAGATAAATAAAAATAGAAAAATAATGTACCAAAACTGATGGGATGCAGCAAAAGCAATTCTGAGAGACAAGTTCATAGCAAAAAGTACTTACTTACATTAAGAAGGAAGATCTCAGACAAACAACCAATCTTTACATCTCAAAGAACTAGAAAAAGAACAAACTAAGCCTGAAGTTAGTAGAAGGAAGGAAATAAAGACCAGAGTGAATATGAATGAAATAGAGACTTACATCTCACAAAACAGGAAAGATCAATAAAACTAAAAGCTGTTTTTCTGAAATGGTAGACAAAATAAACAAATCTTTAACTAGACTTGCCAAGGAAAAAAAGGGGAGAGGATGGCTGGGACTCAGCAAAGGGAAGGACAGGGGAAATGGGGGCCTCTGTCAGAGTGTCAACAATAAAAATAAAGTTCACAAAAGAAATTAAATGAACAAGGAGATTGATAACAAAAGATGAAGCTTATAAGAAACTATTATGCACAATTATATGTCATCAAATTGTTTTTTCATGCTTGCTTTCATATTTTCATCTTTCCCTCTTTTTTCTGCCTTCTTGGGTTTTAATGGAGTATTTTATAGAATTCCATCCATCTTTTTTCCTCTGTTAGCACAGCAATCATACTTAAAAAACAGTTGAGTGGTTTCCCTAGAGTTCCCATTATACAGTTAGAAGTAACAAATCTATTTTCAAAGAACGCTGTTCTACTTCATGGGCACTTCAGGTGCCCCAGAGCATTCCCAATCCTCCCTACTTTCCACCAGGTGGCTGTTGCACATTTCACTGTCCATAAACTACCATCACTAAACACCTTATTGCTATTTTTATTTTTGAACAAAGAGTTATCTATTATACCAAATAAAAATAAGAATAACAAAACATTGTATTTTATCTTCATGTATCTCTAATGTTCTATATTTCTTTGCCTTTTATTCCTTTATGTGGATCCAAATTTCTGACTTACATCATTTTTTTTTCTGAAGAACTTCTTTAAACATTTCTTGCATGGCAGGTTTTCTGGTGACAATTCTCTTATTTTTTTGTTTGCCTGAGAATATTTTTTATTTCTCCTTCATTTTTGAAAAAACAGTTGCATTGCATACAGCATCCTAGGTTGAGGGGATTTCCCCCACTCAATGTTTAATAATTTTATTCCACTTTCTTCTTGCTTGCATAATTTGTAAAGTCTGTTATAAATTGTCTTTGATCTTCTATAGGCAAGTTTTTATTTCTTCTGTCTTCTTTCAAAACTCTGCCTTTGTTTTTTAATTGTGCTGTTTACATATTATATGCCTAGGTATAGATTATTTTGATGTTTATACTTTTTGGTGTTTCCTAATCTTCCAGGATTTGTGGCCTGGTATTTGTCATTATTTTTGGAATATTCTCAGCCATTATTCACTTATTCCTTCTGTTCCTTTCTTTCCTTCTTCTTCTGGTGTTTCCTTTACACATTTGTTAAACCCTTGAAATTGCTGCATAGTTCTTGAATATTCTGTTTTGGTTTTTTAAATTCTTTTATTCTCTTTTTCAGTTTGAGAAGTTTCTATTGACATATCTTCAGAGTCACTATAATCTTCCCAATCCTGTCCAGTCTGCTGATGAGCCCAAGGAAGGAACTCTTCATTCCTGTTATAGTATTTTGTATTTTTTCTTTCTAGAATTTACTTTGATGTTTTTTCTTAGAGCTTCCATTTCTCTGCTTACTTTTTCTATCAGGGCCCCTAGCATATTAATCATAGTTATGTTCACAGTCTCATCATTCCAAAATACCTGCCATATCTGACTTGGTTCTGATACCTATTTTGTCTTTTCAGCCTGTGCTTTTTCTTGCCTCTTAGAATGTCTTGTAATGTTCTAATGAGTGTATCGGGTAATAAGAAATCAGGCAGATAGGGCTTTTTGTAAGGTTTTTCGATTATCTGTCTAGGAATTAGGCTGTGATTAAAGTTCGTTGTAACTGTAGGTATCAGAGGCCTCATCTTACTGTGGTATCCCCATTTTGTCTTCACTATCGTCTTTGGGTTTCCTTAGAAACTCTTTATTGAATAGAGTGTGTCTTGTAGCTCTTTCAGTTGTAATTACCTGCCATTATATAATATATGTTGATGTGGTAGTATTGTAGGGAGGAAGTATTCTATACTCTCATGATTAAATCTTATGATTAAATCTCAGGTTTTTTCATGGGCTTGAGTCTCTAGACTGTGGCCTTCATAAGTTTTGCTTAGGTTTTCTTTTTTTTTCTTTCCCTCGTATGAGACAGGAAGGTTAGAGAAAGACCCACTTGTCTAATTGCCCTCTGTTCTAAAGTTTGGTACAGGAAACTCTGGTTGTTTCCCTAAAAAGCAGGGTTTTGTGACAGGGAGCAGACTTCTCTTGGGCATATTTCAAAATGGTTACATTCCCTCTCCCCCAATCCAAAACACAGGAGGATTTTTCTTCTTGCGAGAACCTGGTCAGGGCACCTAAATATAAGAGCCCTTAAAGTGGAGAGGGTTTCTTCCTAAGACTACATGTCCAAGAGTTATTAACTCTCCACTTAGTCCAAGCTCCACATCCAAAAATATTCAAATACTGTCTAATGTTCAGCACTGACACCTTCGGCTCCCAGTAAATTGCAATTGTCTCTATTGATCTATCTCTCCAGTTTGGGGGGCAGCAGTTTGCCCTGTGGTCTCAAGTCTCTGGAGAATCTAAGGACACTTATTAATCTGTAATTAGTTCAATTTTTTTTCTTGCTGTGACAAGTAACAATTTATATGCTCTTTGCTTATCAGAGTACAAACTAGAAGTGCTTTCTTTACTGTTTTTCACAACCCATACTAATATTAAAACCACTCTTTAGCTTGCAGACCATACAAAAACAGGCAGTAGTATAGGTAAACAGACCAGTATAGATACATATAGTGCAACTATATACACACCTAATACACGTACACATAGTTCATCCTTGAACAACACAGGGTTGGGTGATTAGAAGCTCCAACCCACACACAGTTGAAAATCTATGTATAACTTAAGTTGACCTATTGTATATGCGCATTCCCAAATGTGGGTCAAAAATACTATTTTCCATTCATGAGTGGGAATCTGCAGATGTGAAACCCAGGGACACAGAGTGCTGACTGTTATTTATTGAGAAAAACATATAGTCAGTCAACCCACGAGTTCAAACCCATGCTATTCAATATCTGGATCCCCTGTGGATCTGTTCTATTGTCTGTTTTGTCCCATAGCTTTTTGGCCATGTCCTTGGCTTGCCTGATAATTTATTTTCATGCACATCTTTGCCTAAGCCAGTTTACAGCTCTGTGTATCATCTTTTGTTCAGAATGCAGGATGTCTCTTTCTGCTGCTAGATAGAGTGCTGGCTGATCACATCAACCCAACTAAAGACAGAATTAACTCCTGGATAGGCAATAGTGCTTTAGGGAGGACCTCACTCTAGGTCTTAGCCTTTCAAATATATTGAGAACTTATATTCACCCAAGTTCCTCTCCCTAGTACATTCTAACCTCCCAGCACATTAACCTCTTATGTAAAGGCCATCATAATACTACTGAACATTTTCTCTGCTTTTACAAGACTCTGCTTGATTTTGGCCTCTTAGCTTCCTAATTCAGCAAATATACTGAGTGAAAACCCAACAGAGTGTCATCTCATTTGCTCACCTCTTTCTTTGATATTATACCCCACCCCATCCTCTAATTTTTCTCATAGATCTGTCAAAAATTTATATTGGTTTCTTCTTATCTTACTAGTGCTTTTTGCCCAAATCTTTTGTCCAGACTCTCAGTTTCTTGCCAATGTGCAGAATTAGCAAATATCCTCAGTTGGCCTGCAGGGTGGGGGTGGGCGACAGAAAGAAGCAGCAGAAAGTTGCTTCTCCTCTCAAAAGTGTGCCTTTCTCAGCATTTTGGCTTTTAAATTCCTAGTTATCTGAGCAGCTTTTAAACAAATCTTTTAAAACTCTATTCAGCTTTTCTACTTATTCTCAGTGGGAGTGTTGATCTGCCATAAGTTACTCCATTGTAGCTGGAAGTGCAATTTCTTTACTTGTTTTACTTGTTCAGTCTGTTGGTTTCCAATTCCAGTTCTGTTCCCGTGTATTTAATGTCAGTCTCTGCCCAGTTCTTTGAATTTTGCATTTTTAGCTTAAAGGAGACATTACTCATACATACTTTCACATGTACTTCCGTTCCATTCTCTGATGTCTTTAAGAAAGCAAACATACCAATTCAGGAACACAAAGTAAGACTCGCTTTGTTCAGACAATACCGTTACCATGTTGCTAGCCACTTTCAGTACAGAATTCTGCTTCTAGGTTCTAATCATTTCAATGTGTATTTTTCTTTACTGCTTTGTGAATGCATAAGCAATCATATAGCAGGTATCATTATTATATTTCTGTCCTTAATATGAAAGATGAGCCCTGGCTGGCGTAGCTCAGTGGATTGAGTGCAGGCTGCGAACCAAAGTGTCACAGGTTTGATTCCCAGTCAGGGCACATGCCTGGGTTGCAGGCCATTACCCCCAGCAACCGCACATTGATGTTTCTCTCTCTCTCTCTCTCTCCCTCCCTTCCCTCTCTAAAAATAAGTAAAATCTTTAAAAAAATACTATCAAAAAAACAAAGATGAAACTGTGCTTTATATGTCTGTGTTCCATAATTCCAAAAATGATAAAGATATAAAAGTTACTGGATAGTCATTAACTGACTAAAAAATATACTGTTGAGTTTGGAAGTAAATATATAACATATAAAATTGTATTTACCCTCCATAATCTTCATTGATTCCTGCAAATGGTATGGGATTACAGTGTACAAAAATTGAAATCACAACCAGTACAAGTGACATAGCAGATGTAACAATGACAAATCTCATATAGCCTTTACAATACATATGTAACTTGGAAACAATGAGGCCTCCCAGAAGCTGGCCAAGTACAAATCCTGGAATTAAAACAAGTCCTAAAAAAGAATGGAGAAGAGAAAGAAAACACAATTAAAAATAATCAACTAAAGATAGTACAGAAAATTCATACATTGATGTATTCCCCTCTGCTCTAAACATATAGCAAACATAGGTTTAAATAAAAAGACAGAGAGAGAATTTAAAGCCATGATGGACAACCCAACAAACCTAAACCTTACAATTAATACAAATTTGTGAGTGAGGCTGACACTATCAGCCTAATGGACTTTACAGTAGAGCTGTTAAATTTAGCTTTTATGTGGTAATGATATTTATGATATTAATGATATTTTATGTGGTAATGCTAAGGTAAACCCAAAACTTAATCCATGCAAACTAGATGAGAATTGTTTTATTGAGAGCTATTATTGGATAGCTGCCTGGATTAATGGTTTATAGCAAGAGGCATTCCCATAGTGAAAAGAATACATGGAGATTCGTTACCAAGAATTAGACCAAGTCACCCATTGATTCTGTGAATGTATGTGCAATATCAACAACCTCACAACAAAGAAATGTAATTAGAAAATAATCAATCAGATGAAGATAACAATCTCCTCTGCCCCAAACATATAGAAATAGTAGATTTAAATAGGAAAATAGGAAGAGAAATATAAGGTAAAAACAAATAAAAATCTTATTAACACCAGATTAAATTTATGTCATAAAATTTTCTGACACACTTGTAGATAATTTTAGAATGCTCAGAAAGATTAATGACAGTGTAATTTTCATAAAATAAAAACTAGAATAATAATAGAAAGTAATTGAAAATAAGAGCAGGTAGATTAAGGAAAGAACAAATAAGAAAACTAGATATTTAAAATTATAACTGTTAAAAAGAAAACTCAAATTCCAGACTAGAGACATCTAAAAATTGAATAAATTGGAAGAAGGCATTGTGTTATTCATCCAGTATATAATTTTTAAAAAAGTGATATTGCTTCAGTAATCCTAACCATTCTATCATACTAATGTAAGACCTTTAGAAAATGGAATCTAGGTGTATATATATAGAAACTCTAGCATTATCTTCAAATTTATTTTCCTTTAAACTAAAGCAGTTCAAAAAATAAACTTTGTTTTAAAACACAGTGATGACAGGACAAAAAGCTCCACAAAATATTTTACAGCAGTTGTGAGAAATACAATGACAGGTGTAAAAGAAAAACAATATTTGAAAAGCTATAACTGAGGATGAGGATTGTTCCATGATTCAAAAAATATTAGCCCTGGGAATAAAATTACACTTCAACTACTGAGGAGTACAAATTAAACAATTACATCTATCTCATACAAAAAATAAGCTAGGGACATTCATAACATCTAGAATAAAGCAAAAATTATAAGAGCTGCCCAAAAGCATGTTGCTTGCAAAATAATTTTAATTATAGCTGGTGTTTAAAAAGATAAAATTAGTAACCTAGACCAAACACATATGCACATGCACACACATGCTCCTGAAAAGTAGGGGTAGTGAGCTGTCAGTGGGGAGTTAAAATTTCCTAAACCAAACAAGGGTAATGAATAAAAAATATGACCATTGAGAGCAGAAAAGATAGTAAGGAATAAAAGAAGAAAAATAGAATGGTAATAAGCAAATACAAATGAGTCAAAATTAATTAAAATTCACAATAATACTAAATAAGTAAAATTAAACTAGTAAAATCACTTTATTGAGTTTGATATTTTTAAAAGCAAAGTTTGTAACCAAAATAATGAAAAATATGTATCATGAAAATAGATCATGACATTGTATAAATTAAATTACTTAACTACCCAGATTTGAAGAAAATTAAAAGTCCATAAACAAATAGTATTTTAACTCAGCTTCCTCAAAGCAGCTTTAACACTATTAAAATAAAATCAATTAAAAATATTAATTGATTTGAACAACATTATTTTAAAATAGAAACAAAAACATTTATTTAGCAACTAAAATCTTGATAATTCATCGATTAAATAAAAATGTGATGATGAAAATTAAAAATAGTTACAACTGAACAATAATAAAATTATACCTAAATGTATGAGATGCTACTAAAGAAAATCTGTAAATGATGATACTTCCATCATAGGGTTGTTGAGAGAATTAAATGAGTTAATATTTAAGTGCTTAGAACATCATCTAGTCAGAGAGTAAACATTATACAAATGCTTGTTAAAAGGCAGGCAGAAGGCAAAAAAGTACAGAGGGGCAATATTTGTCCAGAATATTCTGAGAATTGGAACTGAATCAGGAGACTTCAGAGGATAAGCAATAAGTATGCTTGTAAGGAAATCAAGAAGAAGCAAACCACATTTTACCCCAGATTCACAAAAAGTTAAAGGCAGTAGGTACCAATGAAAACAGAGTGAGATAGAGGATTGGATGGCAGTCTATATAGAATGTTTGATCCTCAGAATTCCTATTCTCACCCACATGCCATATGATTGACCAAGAAGAAGAGCCCAGATTTATTTAATTTGAACATGAGAACTGTAGGTCTGAGAAAACCAACTGTATCTCTAAGCAGAAAACTGAGAACCCAACTCAGGTAAGAAAACCACCAGCTGTTAGGCTTACTGCCCCAGGCCAGTGATTTTCAATCAGTATGCTGAGGCACACTGGTGTGCCACAATGATTTTTGAAACATGCAATACCTGACTAATTAGCCAGGGGCACTGACCTCTTTTCCCTTAGACTGTCAAATTGAAAAAAAAAATGACAACAGCCAACACAACAGCAGCCATCAAGTATGAATGAATCAAAATTATACCTATTTTTTGTCAGATTAGCAAAACTATAATACATGCTTTGGTGTTGCCACAGAATGTTAGTAATTAATTTATATGCCATGAGATGAGAAAGGTGAAAATCAGTGCCCTAAGCAATAAGAAAATACTGGATACTGGGGGTTCAACAAGTAAAGACCTGTGTCCTTGAAAGACCACCCTAAAAGGAAACAAAACAGTTGAAAATTTAACTGCAATGTGCAGAATTTTCAATCAATTTTT